ATTGATATGGAAGTTTTATTATTAAAAGGCAAAGGATTAAGCCTTCAGTTGGGATGGCCAACTTAGAAAGAAGATGTCTTGAGCCTGGGAAGGTGGCTCAGTGGTAAAGTGCTTGCCTTGCATGCAAGAGGCCCTGGGTTTGATTCCTCAGCACCACATAAACAGAAAAAGCCAGAAGTGGCTCTGTGGCTCAAGTGGTAGAGTGCTAGCCTTGAGCTGAAGAGCTAAGGGATAGCACCCAGGCCCAGAATTCAAGCCCCATGACTGACAAAAAAAAAATTGTCTTTTGATTTGGAACTAAACGTAAGAATAGAGATGGTGCTGAAAATAATAAGTGAGTGGTAGCGCCCCAGCCTTGAGCAAAAAAGCTAAAGGAGAGTGTGCCTAGGCCTTGCTACTGCAGTCAAAACCAAACCAAACAAACAAAGTTAAGCGCTAAGACAGAAAAAGCCTATTATAGTTAAAAAGGAACAGAAAAGCAAGTAAACAAAACCAAAATTCTCACCATGTAAGTAAAGAAAAAAAATGGATAAAGGCTTTAAAAAAAAGCAACGTGACAGCAGCAGGTGACTGCTTTTCTAAAAACAAGGTAAGCTTAATTTTGCTCTTAGTTTTGAGGGACTGGTTAAAACACATACAAATGATCAGCAGAATCATGAAGACTGATTTTCATGAATATCTTGCCTCCTACTTCCTATTCCTATGTGGAGTTCCATGTGTCATATAGCATTTCCAGTTCTATGGCTCAGTGCTACCCATTCATCTGAGTTATCATACTTCATTAGCGTCTAGGCTAATCTGGATTACATTCACCTGGTAGAAAAGCACATGTGATTAATAGCACATCACTCAGTCCTGCATCAATGAGGCCATGGATGCTGGAATAAACAAGATGGTTGAGGGGCCTCACTTGAATTTTACCTTAACAAATCTCTCCCCTACCATAAGCACTGGTTAGCTTATTTTCCAGGCCTTGGTATTGATTATTTTCTTTGGGTCAAGGCTACCAGTGATTTCCATTTGCTAAATTTGAGATTGTATTTCATTCAGTTACTAAGCTGCATTTGATACAGTATTTAGTCCTGCTTCACATGTGGCTTCTGGAATACTTGCGGCCCTCCTATCTCACTGCAGGGCCCTAAATGTTGAAATGTTCCAAGGCTCAATCCTCTGCTCTCTTGTTTCACTATCTAGTCTCTGGGTTAGGGTTTCTAAGTCCTGAGACTTAATATTTTGAAGTGGACAATTCTTTCTTGTGAGGGTCTCTCTTGTGCATTGTGGAATGTTCAGAGCATTCCTGGCCTCTATTCAAAGAATGTCTTCTATCATAGTCATGACAATCAAAATTACAGACATTATAAATGGACCCTGACTGAAAATATTGCTGTTGTGTTCAGCTCAGCTGGACCCACAGCTTCAAATACCTTCCCAAAGGTTATGAGCCCAAATATATATCATCCCAGACTCCAAGTTCCAGATTTGTGTATCTCTTCCTCCCTCCCTCTTTCCTGCCATTGAGATAGTATCTTGTCACTATGTAGCCCAGGCTGCCAAATGTCTTGTTATCTCTACTTGAGGAAGGAGGGGAACACTTATTTATTGTCTACATTCCCTACCAAATTGTGGTTTCCTTGAAAATAGGTATTTGCATATTCACTCCATATTTCCAGAGACCACAAGAGTGCTTGGCATGTAATAGGAGCTCAAAATATACTTGATGATTAACTAATTCACGTAAGTTCACTTTAGAAAAGCAATCATTGATGCTTCAAATTCTTACTACAATTCACTTAAATTTGAACCTGTGAATATACACGTTTTATGTATATGAACATACACATAGGAATATTTATTTCAAAGAATATTCATGTCTCTTGAATATTATGAGAGTTGCAATTCCTAAGTAAGTTCTATGTTCAATGGTGGGCCCTACAGGTCTAATTTATGCGTTGAAGTGGAAGGAACAAGGTGAAGTTTTCTAAGGAGGTTTGAAAGTTTTACAACCAAACAAACAAACCTGTTTCCTGGTAACCAGCCACCACAGTGAATAGACAGTGCTGTTTTTCATTTTTTTTCTTTTCCAGAGAAAGTAGTGACCAACCATGCCATTTTAAAAAAATCAACTCAGCTCTCTCTCACACACACTATAATCATGTCTACTTTTAATTAAAGAAGACCATAACTTTCAATGTTTACTTCTGGCTCAGGTAGTATCCAGACAAACCTTCCCATAGCTCTTCTCTATGTACTTACTTACTTGGGTGGTTATTTACTAAGTGTGCAAATTTTTGTGTATCAATTGTTCCTTGAGTAGAAATGAGTCATGTCTTAATGACTGATACAAGCTGGATGTGATGGCTCTTAAATGTTTGTTAAGTCATAGAGTGAAGATATTAAATATTTATGTTTGTACAACCTGGAACTCAGCTCATATCCAATCAGCTCTATGGATATTATAAGCTCAGTTTTATATTATACACATTTTAATGACTACACCCAAACATGGTATTCTATACAGTAAAATCACTCGATCAAATGTATGAATTCCAAGATAATATTTTAAACCACTGTTGATTTAATGCAAAATTGTTTGAAAAGTTGATAGAAGCATCTTTTAAAAATACTGTATATGGAAGTGGAGGTTTGGCTTTTATGGTAGAACAACAGCCTTGAGTGAAATAGTTAAGCTAGCCAGGCAACAGTGGCCAGCACCTGTAACCATAGGTACTCAGGAGGCTAAGAGCTGAAAATTGTGGTTTGAAGCCAGCCCAGGCAGGAATGTCCATGGGACTCTTATCTCTAATTAACCACCAAAGAGCCAGAAGTAAAACTGTGGCTCAAGTAGAAGAGCACTAGCCTTCAGTCCCTGAGTTCAAGCCCTAGGACTGGCATGTGTATGTACTCATGCATAGATAACACACACAAGCAGTGTTCAAAAAGTAAAAAAATAAAAACAAAATACTGTACATGACTAATATGGAATGCTAAATTTTAATAGTAGAGGAAATCTTAAGTCAAAAACTTTTTTGAAAAAAAATTTTAAAAAATAAAAATTTTTGATTGATTTTTCATCATTTATTAGCAGATAAAATATTTTAAGAAGAATTTACAAATATTAACTTTCTGTTCTAAATATTTTTTCATTCGATTAAATATTTTAAAATTTCAGGAAAGATTTAAATCATATTTAGATGCTAATGGAATTAGACTTCTTGGGATGAGGAGTATATCCGTGGTAAAATATTTGCTTTCGTATGATTAAGGTCCTAGATTCAGTGCCACAGGAAAAAAAAATGCACAAAAGAACAAAACATAGTTTCTTTTATTTTGTCCTGGTGGGGCTTGAACTTAGAGCCTGTTCACTGTACTGAGCTCTTCAGTTTAAGGCTAGTATTCTACCACTTTGAGCCACAGCTTCACTTCCTGTTTTGTGGTGGTTAATTGGAGATAAGAGTCTCATAAACTTTGCTGCCTGGGCTGGGTTTGAACTGCAATCCTCAAGCTTTCTGCTTCCTAAGTAGCTAGGATTAGTGTGAGCCACCGGTGTGCAGCTAGAAAACACAGATTTAATGTATGAATTAATGAATCTGGAATTTAAAAATGAAGATATTCTCACATACTTTCAATATAAATGAAAGAGGGCTGTCTTGATGACTTAAAAATACTGAGACACTGAAGGCATTAAAAAATTATAGAGACTTTGTGTGTGTGTGTGTGTGTTGGTTGTGGGTCTTGAACTCTGGGCCTGGGCGTTGTCTCTCAGCTCTTCAGTTCAAGGCTAGCACTCTACCACTTGAGCCACACTGCCACTTCCGAGACTTTTTTATATAAGTGAAATTTACCTAGTAAAACATTTTACAAAATATAAAATCTGATTCACTTTAACAAAAAGACGACACAAAGTAGACCACCACTGCTGTATTTTAGAACTGGAAGTGAGAAAGACAGCCAATACAATGGAGCCACTTCTCCAATCAGGAGGCTGCCTGGGTACTCCTCCTTTCCTGAAGAATGTGGGTAGAGTGACTCACCCACAAAGACAGTGCATTCTTGGGCCAAGAAACCATGTAGTATGCTGTTCTCACAGATTTCTAAGAAACGGGAATCCTGCCTCCCTAAATCTTGAAATTCTCAGAGAACTTCGCTTAGCTGGACTTCCTGTAGAAAAGAGGTTAAATAGAAAATCCTTTCAATGTGAACACTGTCTAAAATGTTTGATAGTAATTGTGAGTGTAGATGTAGGAGATGTGTGGGCAACATGACTGAACCTAGCTAGTGGCACTGCTTCATCAGCAAGTCTGGTCAAAGGAGCTCCTTCAACATATTAAAGGGGAATGTGCTGTTCCTTTAAGAATGCAAAACAAAGGAAGCACAGCAAACACTATCTGTCTTTTCTCTGGGTAAGATTCTGTTTATCAGTTTTCTCTGCATATATTGGGATAGAGAATGAATACATGCTGATCTCAGAATAAGCTCTATAAGCCTTTTGTTTTTCCTTTTTAAACTTAATATATTTGTTCATCATAGGCGGAAAACCAGTCTATCAGAAGAGCTAGTCAAACAAATGCTAAACATTAGGAAATGAAGTCCACATTATAAAAAAAAAAGTCTTCTAAGATTAATGGAGGGGGTCAGAATGTGCCAAAGTTCAGACAAAGTATATTATACGTGTACATGAAAATGTTATAATGAAACTTATTATTTGGTAAAATTAATATAGGCTGCTAAAAATAAACTTAAAATGTCCTTGATCTGTCCTAGCAATTTTATTTTTGAACTTATCAGGTTTATGTTCTAATAAAAGATAATGCTAATGAATATGGAAGGTAATTAGGAGTCAAGTCAGCTCTATCATATATGCAGTTTGGCTGCTGACATTAATTAGCTTTCTGGAGAAATGGAACCCTCTGAACAGCACAGATACGCACTTGCTATGTACATACAGACTAGAAAATTGAATTATTTTAGTGAAGGCAAACATTTGGGTCTTCAAGAGTTACCTTCACGTTGAATGTTATTTCCTCCATTACGTATACACGTTCAGGAAATGCTTTAGCCACCTCCTCCACACTGTTGAAGTATTGCACCGGCTCTTTTATATCTCTGTCTTGTTCCAGCAGCTTGAATTGCCCTAGAGTACATGACAAACAGAAGAGACGTAAGATGTTTATGTTGGACAGCTGTCACTGTGGTGACAACATCCTCTTTCCTTCCACCAACTCTTTTTTTAATCAAAGAACTTTATTCATCATAAAAAAGAGTTATCATGACAGAAGGGTTAAGCTAGGGCATATATACACATATATACACATATATATATCATATTGAAAAACAAGCATATATTTTTTTCCTTTTTCTGTTTACATTAAGATAATTATGGTCAAAGGTCTAAAATTGCTTATGTGTGATTTGATCTGAAGAGAAAACTTATTATCGTCTATGAATTACTGTGGATTTTGTGTTTTAACATAAAGTTATCTTGTCATTTAGTTGGATTAGAACACATATAACACTTTAAAATCAAGTCCCAGTATCCTGGAAGAACTAATTTTTTTAAGTCAGTATTTAAAATAGAATAAAATAAGGACAAGGGTTGTGGCTCAGCAGGAGAGTACCTGTCTGGCATGCCAGACAAGTTTGGGTTTGACCCTAGCACCACAATAAGACCAGCACAACAAAGAGTAACACAGAAGAAAATAATATCATGGACTCTTGGCTTTCACAGAATTCAAATTCTTGGTTTCAACTATCCACAAGAAACAATGAAGGCTCATGAGCTATCTGAGTATGATGGTAAACAAATGTGCAGAGGCTTCAATGTGCTGAAAGGCTGATCTGTGGGGTCAGCCTGGTTCCAGGGACTAACCCCTACCAGCCACATGACATATAAGGCTCCCTGTGGCTTCCTTTGATTGAAATTCATGCCAGTAATTACACTATTGTGGCATGCACAATTTGGGGGATTTGTGAAGAACTCTGAATGTACATTTTCAATATTAATAATACTGCTGCTACAGTCTAGAGGAGTTTGTTTTCAGTTTAACATAAAAGACCGTATGTAATCAAATCAAAGACACAGTGGAGTTATCTTGTTAGTAGGTATTTTCTGAATTTTTCTTAGATGCAAATTAAGGAATATCATGAGGAAGATCTCTGAGAATGTGTCTGTGTCAGGAAACTTTCATTATATGCAACACATTTATTAAGTGTCTTCTAGATTAGAGGCATTATATTAGATTCACCAATGAAAAAGGCAGAAATCACTGTCTTCCTGAAAGTTACATTTGGGTCAGAGACAGATGGCAAATATAATAAAAGAGGTTACAGGATGTGAGTGGGGTAAGATGTGCAGGACAGAGGGCAGAGGGGGAAAATGGTGTGAGCAGGACAGCCACAAGATAAAGCTGATTTAGTGACCATGGATGTGGGTAAAGGACAAAGATGCTGGTAGCTAACTAGAGTGGAGTTCTTAGAATTCTAGATACAGGCAGGAGACTAGGTAATGACCCTCAGGTAGATGAATGCTTGCTCAGCATGCTGCCGTGTGACTGGAATAGGGTGGGAAATCGGCAAGAGAGAAGAGAAAGAATGTCAAGAGCGAGTGAAGAAGTGATTTTACCAATAAAGCTCACTCTGGCTGCCATGTTGGGATGACTGTTAAGATGCAAGGCATGGGGGCAGAGATATCAGGAGTTTCCTGTAATCTTTAAGTATGAGACAGCAGGGGGTTGTAAATGGTGAGAAGTGTTAAGAACCTGGCCTGAACAATCAAGGGTACAAAACTGCCATTAATTGAGTTGGGCTGGTTTAGAGAAGATGGAGGACTAGAAATCAGTCTGGACATATGTCTATTGGATATAATACAATGAAGGCATCTATGGATGTATAAATGAGAAGTCAGGAGAAAGGTCCAGCTGGAAATAATGAACTTGTCTATGTCAGCCACATATAGACAATGCTTAAAGCTATTATGATATTTTATGATAATGCTGACCATGGTTTTGAGTATAAGTAGGAAATAATTCTAAGGTATACGTTTCTGGACACTGAGGAAGACTAGCCAGGAATATTGCCAGAGGCAAACCAAGAGAGGGTGCATCCTGGAAGCCAGGAGATCTGAGTACTTCAAGGATTGAGAACAATGCTGAAGGCTGCTATGGGACAGTGAGATCACAACTGTGTGAAATTTAACTGGGAGTTTGAGAAGAGTGGGATAGCTGGACCAAATGCCTGACAGAACTAAGTTCTGTTCAGCTGATGTTTAGGCAGTACTGGTATAGAGAGAAGGGACATGAAGCAATGACTACAGGTAGGAGGTGGAAGTTAGATGGGGGTCATTTTGTTGTCCTTGATATAATGTGAGAGTGATACTTTGGATATTGATGGAAATGACTAACAAAGGATCAGAAACCTGGTAGAGTGGTTTAAGCTTGTAATCCTAGGTACTGGGGAGGTGGAGGGAAGAGGTTTGCAGGAAAACCCACCACAAGCAATGGCTGGGCATGGTGGTATGCTTCTGTTATTCCTACTCTAAGGGAGAACAGTGGTTTGGTGCAATGACACATACATGCTTATCTTCCCCAGTGATATTGAAAAGCACCAGTAGGAGGATCACAGTCCAGACAGTCCAGGGGAATAAAAAGTGACAAGCTGCCTTCAGAAATAAACAATGAAAAAAGGGTCTGAAAGTATGGCTCAAGTAAGCATGAACCTTGAGTCCAATCCCCAGTACTGAAGAAAAAAAATCAGTCTGAGAGGATGGATCTGACATGGTGATGGTAGCCTCCAGATAGAAGCACAGACAATCCTTCTGTAGCTACACCAGATATAGTATAATGTAGAAGCTCACAGAATCTTCTTTTTACTGTTTAAATTCTTCTAGCCAAAGTTGGAACAAAGTTACTGGTTGAGAGGCATCAGAGGACTAAGGAAAAAGAAGATTGTCAAAAGTTCAGTCATAGGGAGTAACATCACAAGACTGCTAGGATGTATTAAGTTCCTGCTTAGGGTTTGATGGTTTTGAATTGAGTGAAATCAGAAAGTATGACCATGTTTTCCCCAGCCAAGGTAAGATACACAGAGGCTGGTGCAAAGTAAAGACTTGGATTTGGCCAGTACTGTGAGCATGAGAAGTGAAAGAAAGCAAAAGAGCCAGGATGTAGGCATGTGAGAGGTTATGCTGCCTGTCTATGGGCCTTGAGCTGGCAAATAGGGATACAAGAATTTAAGTGTGAAGGAAGAGAAACAGTGGGGAAAAAAGATTGGTATCAATGGATAGTCAGCTCTGATGGAGATTGTGTTTTCTTTATTTTGGAAGGAGTTAGTTCAAAAGCCATAGATGAAGAGCCAGGCCCCTTAAAATCATTATCATGTTAACAGGAACCTCAAAGAATATTTTTTAGGAGCCAATCCAAAGACTAGGTTAAATAAACGCTAAAGTATCCTTCAAGATTAAACAGATGATCCCTCAGCATTGCAATGGGATATATCAGGGTAAAAGATAAAATTTATAGGTTCAGTTGGTCGGATCTCTAGAACATCCTAAAGAGACACTGAATATTTGTGCCAACATTTCTGGTTATGTATAATTGTGATGTTTATTTTCTAATTTATTAGGTAAATATGAAATTTTAATTTTGAAACCTGAAGAGAATTCAAGCCCTTTGCCATGAAACCAGGTATACTTTTATGAAAAACTGCCAATGAGGGGTTGGGAAGGTGGCTCAGTGGTAGAGCGTTTGCCTTGCATGCATGAGGCCCTGGGTTCGATTCCTCATCACCACATAAGCAAAAAGAAAAAAGCCGGAAGTGGCTCTGTGGCTCAAGTGGTAGAGCGCTAGCCTTGAGCTGAAGAGCTGAGGGACAGCGCCCAGGCCCAGAGTTCAGACCCTACAACTGGACCCAAAAAAACAAACAAACAAATAAAAAAACTATGAATGAGTTTAATTTACTTAAAATGTGACAAATATGTTAGAAAAAATTCCTAACATAAAGAAATCTGTACATACACCAAATACTAAATGGCAGATGCTAAAACTCTTGAATTATGCTCTCCCCACCCCAGCAGCCACATTAAAATAATAATAATAAAAAAAGAAAGCTTAGTGGCTCATGCCCATAAACCTAGCTTCTCAGGAGGCTGAGATCTGAGGACTGTGATTGACGCCAGCCTGAGTAGAAAAATGTGAGACTCTTCAATTAATCTTCAATTAATCAGGAAAGTGCCTGAAGTTGAGGTATAACTCAAGTGGGTAAAACACCAACTTTGAACAGAAAAAAACTAAGCAAGAGCAAGAGATTCTGAGTTCCAGCCTCACTGTTCCCTGCCCCCCTCCCCCAACACAGATAAAAAGAAGTAGGACACTAATAAGGGCACTGGTGGCTCATGCCTATACCCCTAAGCTACTCAGGGGACGAAGAGCATGAGGATATCAGTTCAAGGCTAGCCCAGGCAACACACAGTTATCTAAAATTAATTACTTAAATTTCTTACATTACAAGTGACTTTAAAATCTAAATAGTCACATGTGACTTCTTATGGCTGAATTGAACAAACTTGTTCTGTATGTATTTTAGCCTTTCTGGACTAAATGGTCTCTGGTGTGCAAAACCAGCCTCAAACAACATGCAAAGGCATGACAGCAGCCAGGCTCCAGTAAGACTTTATTTACAAAACATGTGGCAGGTCAGATGTGGCCCTCAGGCCACAGTTTGCTGACCTCTGTCCTGCTGGATGAATTGGAAAGTACAGATCGGGCTAGGGGCAAAACAAGACAGCAGAAGTGAAAATGACCAGCCCATTCATCCCACACTAACTAAATAGTCACACCATGGTTTCTTGTGAGGTTCCTGAAGCCAATCCTAAGCTGCCCTTGTTGATTTTAGAACAGCCGTTTTCCCTTAAATACATATCTAAAATCAAAAGTGCAAGATGCAGAAGCAGACTTATATTAGGAGGACAATTTAACTGAACAGACAACAAAAATGCTGATATTTTCTCACCATCCTTTCCAAAATTTTTATTAACTTTTACTCAGCTTCTATTCTTTAAGAACAAATGTGACATTCCTTGGTTAGTCAACTTGACATAGTCTGGGAAAGATACTGGCTATGGCATTGGTAAATTCTCTG